GAACTGCAATTCGATCTGGAGGCTTTCGCTGAGAAGCTGCATTCAATGAACCTTGAATTGAATATAAATGAGAATTATGACCATTTTGTCAATGCCATAAAGCCTGAAGTGAAAAGTCAACGAGAAAGCAAAGCGTTGGCAATGACAATGCGTTTACTGGCTAGCAAAGCTCAAGTGAAGACCGAAAGCAAAGTGAACAACGTGTGCACTGAATATGCAATGAGGTACGGAAAAATAACAGGAAAGAATATGAAAATTACAGGAGAGACCGGTTAAGAGAGAGTACAGAGTGGAAGAAAATTTTTTAGACGGTGAAGCGAGATATTCGCCAAAAAGAAGACTTTCGGGGAACGCCGAAAGAAGAAGGGGAAGCAAGAACTGCAAATTGCAATTGGACGAACGTGATCTAAAGAAAGGTTTACAACAACCCGTACTCTACCAAACCAGGTGTGAATAGTACGCTGTCAGACGTTGTGCCAGAAGCCGCTCTAAAGGTCGTCTAGATCGAAGTTGAGTGGGTGGTGGGAAACGTTAAAAATGACAAAATGTCCGGTCAAATAGGATATATAAGCAGAACATAGTAAAGCGAGAAAATAATCTGCTCTGAGCTATTGCTGAAGATCTTGCGGAATAAGTAAGGAAAAACAACAGATGTAATGTGTGGAAAAAATTAAGAAAGATTTTTCTCATGAAGCGAGGCAATTCTGAACAACTCAACAACTATTAATCTGTTACACACCTATTGCTAGCGTATAAAGTCTTCGCCCGCATCGTTTGATTTACATTTTGCTTTCTACTGAGAGTGTTTTATTGAATTTCGAATTGCCTAATATGCAAATGATATGCACACGAAAATACCGACACATTGCTTGAAACTGACTCACAAAAGTGTCAGATAATGAAGATCTGATTCTGATATTCCGTCATGCATTGTGCTACGAATCACCTCCCCCTCTCTCACACATCCCACACACATTCGAGAAGATAAGTTTCGAGTTCAGTGAGGATCGAAAAGCTATGAAGCGATCAATACACTCATTGGTACTAGCTGGGCATTGCTTTCGACTATATGAAAAACCTTGCAAAAAACGAGGCGGAAGCGAAACAGCGCATACCATAAAAACGCTGAGCAGAAGCAAGCGTTTCCAATAATTGAAGGATGGTGAAACAAAATAACG